ATTTATTATACTTACTAATTACATTTTAAATATGATTTCTTATTAATAATTCATAGTTATTATGGGAATTTATTTTGTGATTAAAATAAAGTACCAGCACTGATGATAGTAGCAACTAGTGATCAATTTTTATTCTTAAGGACTCAATAAACACGGTAATTACTGACAGAAAAATTTTAATTTACAATAAACAGTAAAATTTTAGAGAGCAGTTACCGTGAATTGTTATTTTATGTGAAACATTTTGTTACAGTTCAAAGGTTACATACATTTTAGCCAGTAGATATAAACTATCATCTAAATTATGCATGCCTGATCTTATTTTTAAGCATTTGGTTTAATCTAGACTTAAGTTAATTGGCTATTGTTTTTTTAGCAGCAACAAACTTGTTTTCAATGTCGATGGAATAAAGGGAAAGTTTGGGCAGGTGTGATATTGTAGTTTCTTGCCTCCGTCCAACAACTGAACTAATTGACCAGGCGTAATATGTCCTTGTTTAACACGTTTCAGTTTGAACCTCACCATTTCCAGGCCTGAATTTAAGGCCTCTGAACTATCACTGCTTAAGCTTTGATCCTTTTGTTTAGTATTACTCATTGCAGAAGCCTGAACAAAAGATTTATATGTCTAGCAAAAATTTCAAAACTTTCTTAGCAAAAAGTAAAAACACGTACAATGCAAAATGCCCAATTTGTTTGGAAAAACTTGATATAAACACATTTGCTTGATAAAATCAGGCAATCTTATTTGTTTACATATAAAAGTGAGCAAAAAAAATCTAGAAACCATATTGGAAACCAAAAAGTTCAAAAAACGAGTGAATTGAAGCATTTTTCAGTCTCATTAATGTATGCTCGAAATCATCTCTTTTAAAATTTGTAAACTTAATGAAATTAATAAGTATCCAATTGACAAGCAGTTTGATTTGAACTAAAACTCAAAAGATTAAACGCAATAATATGCGCATTTATAGTGTAAATAGCTGAGCAGAAAAAGCTGAACTGCGTGATAAGTAAAAGCGTGATCACGTAATGCAATGCCTTATCAGAGAGATTAATTAAAGTTAGTCATAAGTCAGTTATTAGGAAGTTGAAAAGTAATAATGAATAATTGAAAATCAAATTACTTGCAAATTGATGTCCGTAAGCTAAACTTCAAGTGCAGTATTGATGAACAAAACTTTGACGCTGAATTATGAGATATATTGAAAAATTACTTGCGTCATTAATTTTTCAAAATGTAATCAGAAATTTAAAAAAAAACTTTTTAACGTTGGAAAAAAAATGTGAGATGCAAAAGTAGCATATTTAAAATTTAGTTTTTATTCAAACGCGCAAATGACTCAAAGTAAAAGATTTAT